AACCTCAACAATCTCCAAGTCTCCAATCAGGTAAGTACCACAGTCTCGTATCACCGAAATCCAACTCTGATCTCTGTCCAACTTGATAGTCTCCAATCTGAAGAAGAAGAAGAAGAAGAAGAAGAAGAAGAAGAAGAAGAAGGAGAAGAAGAAGAAGGAGGAAGAGGAGAGAGAGAGAGAGGGGACTGGCGAGGGAGAGGAGGAGAGACCCTCCAAGCTCCCGGTACCTCAGGCGGCAATGGCCGCCGTGCTGGCTCAGTCGCCCTGCTGCTGCTCCGCTCGCTGCTGCGCTATGCTGCGCTCCTGCYTCAGCCCCTGCGCTAAGTTTAGCGCATCAAAACAGTACACTGGTACTGACCATGCCGTGTCGGTAGAGTTCCGGTAGGCCGATGCCTCAACTGAGGCGGATACCGGTACTTATACCGGTAGGCMATGGTCTGGCCTCAATGCTGCGAGGCCAGGCCAGACCCTCGACCGTCCAGATGGACGGTTCAGCCTCAATCGGCGGGCGGCAGCTTCAAGAGCGCCGCCAGGCCCAAACGAAGTGTCGTTTGGGCCTACCCGATGGGTGCTGGTCCAAAATCAGGCCTTTAGGGCCTGTAACCCCAAAGGTCGGGCCTTTAGGCCCTGGTGTGTCCCTCCGGCCCTAAGTCGGGTCCGGTAGGACCCGTGTGAGTCGAAGATGTAACATCTTACCTTCCCTAAGGGGCTGTCACCACCCTCAGGGGTGCATCCCCGCCGAGCTACCGACCCACGTCCGAAAGCTCTTACATGCAATTGCAGAGGTAGGTCAGTCGAGGGTGTTTGCTCGCTCGCTGGAGTATAGGTACGCTTGGTTAACGCCAAGTGGACCCGAACGTCGTCCGTTCCCGAGGGCGCTGATCTCCTCAGTACGAACGAACATCGGTCGACTAGGACGGCCTCGACCAAACATGAAATCCAATGTATAATCCTAGTACCGTTATAATCTCATACTCGTAAACAACATTTCGACTTGACGAGGCGGCCTGCCAAGGTTATCATTTCCTGCTTGCATGACCGGAGAGACAATGCTACTGCTGTCCGAAGATGGAAGATCCTGTCACGCACAGCTTATACAAGTAAATACCGCTGGTACCATGCAGATCAACAAGCGATCTGGCTCCTCTCGGTATTTGAACTCCCGGTTCGACCATATTGTCGTACCGCATGCATCCATTCGGGGGAGCGACTGACAATTATGTCGGTCGATTCGTCCTCCTAGGCAATAATTACTCTCTCCATTCCACGAATGACGAAGTACCCATCCCCAACACCAGATACTCGACATGGAGATGTTTCATCTTCTGATACTTCGCCCTCGCCCTTTTACTCGACACCTTCTCAGGTGTTCGGTTTTTATTTTGCTCGGCTCATTTTTCAGCGATCGATTACCCCTCAATGCATAAGCATGATAGTGCCATCATCGGGGTAATCCAGATACTATCCATCTCGATGGCCTGCCTACGCAAGATTGTTGTTCTTTTTGTTATTATTACCCTTGTAGAGTCACGTAGATGTGGCCCTACAAGAGAACCACTTACCACCGCTCCTGACTCGAGAGGGTGCGCTCATTCAGGATAAACCTGTCGGCCCTCACGGGCCTCTACCTCTATCTGGTCGAGTCGCGTAAGCTCCTCGTCGTCGAAAGTCAAGGTGGAGACACGTCCGTCTCTCATAACTCAGACCTTCCTCGTATCATAGAGAGAAACCACCCGGGAGGCGAGCCTCCAAACTATGGCGTGGAACGGTTGGCGCATCCGAAATAGGTGCGTGGTAGTGGTTTCTTTAATCCGGATGATGCCATAGCGCTCCCCGGATAGGGTAATTTTGACGCTCATAATGACCCGAGAAAGGCATTAGAGGTCGCTTGCGCGATGGAAGTACAAGGTGTATCCGTGAACTTCGTCCGGAAGTCGGGCCACATTGGCACGAACATCTGCGCGCGAGTTAGGGA